GCTGCCAATCCTCCTGTTTTTGCTGAGGAAGACTGGCCCTGAGCTAACATCTGTGCCCATCTTCCTCTACTTTATATGTGGGACGCCTGCCACAGAATGGCTTGACAAGTGGTGCCATGTCTGTACCTGGGATCTGAACCAGAAGACCCCAGGCTGCCAAAGTGGAATGTGCACACTTAACCGCTGCATCACCGGGCTGGCCCCTGTTACATTGTTTGTTTGAGATTTTTCTTGTTTGTTAAAGTAGGCCTGTATTGCTGTAAACTTCCCTTTTAGTACCACGTTTGCTGTGTCTCATAAATTTTGGTGTATCATATTTTCATTTTCATTTGTCTCCAGGTATTTTTTGATTTTTCCTTTGATATCTTTATTGACCCAAGAGTTGTTCAGTAGCATTTTAATCTCCACATATTTGTGACTTTTAAAAACATATTTGTGACATTTTAATCTCCACATATTTGTGACTTTTCCAGGTTTCTTTCCGTAGTTGATTTCTACATACCATTGTGGTCAGAAAAGATGCTTGGTATTATTTCAGTCTTCCTAAATTTATGGAGACTTGTTTTGTGGCCAAATATGTGATCTATCCTGGAGAATGTTGCATATGCATTTGAAAAGAGTGTGTATTCTGTGGTTTTTGGATGGAATGCTCTGTATGTATCTACAAGGCCGTCTAGATTAATGTTTTATTTAAGGCCAGTGTTTCCTTATTGATGTTGTGTTTGGCTGATCTATCCATTGATGTAAATGGAGTGTTAAAGTTCCCTAGTATTATTGTGTTACTGCCTATTTCTCCTTTTATGTCCGTTAATAATTGCTTTATATATTTAGGTTCCCTTTGTTGGATGCATAGATATTTACAAGTATTATATTCTCTTGTTGGGTTGCTCCCTTTATCATTATGTGGTGCCCGTCTTTGTCTCTTGTTACGGTTTATGTTTTAAAGTCTATTTTGTCTGATATAAGTATTGCTACCCCAGCCTTGTTTTCATTGCCTTTTGCATGGAGTATCTTTTTTCATTCCTTCACTTTCAGTTTGTGAGCGTCTTTAGGTCTGAATTGTGTCTCTTGTGTGCAGCATATATATGGGTCTTATTTTTTTATCCAGTTGGCCACCCTACGTCTTCTGATTGGAGCATTTAGCCTGTTGACATTAAAAGTAGCTGTTGATAAGTATGTACATATTGCCATTTTATTACTTTTTTTTTTTTTTTTGCTGAGGAAGACTGGCCCTGAGCCAACATCCGTGCCCATCTTCCTCTACTTTATAAGTAAGATGCCTACCACAGCATGGCTTGCCATGCGGTGCCATGTCTGCACCCAGGATCTGTACAGGCAAACCCTGGGCCGCCAAAGCAGAATGTGTGAACTTAAGGACCACCAGGCCGGCCCCATTTTATTACTTTTTTCTGGGTGTTTTAGTACTTCTTCTCAGTTCCTTTCTTCTCCTGCTCTCTCTTCTCTTGTGGTTTGATGGCTTTCTTTAGTATTATGTTTGGGTTCCTTTCTCTCAATTTTTTCTAGGTTTCTGGTTTGTGATTATCATGAGGTTCATATGTAATAACCTATGTAAATAGCAGTCTATATTAGGTTGATGGTCTCTTTAAGTTTGACTTCTTGGTGAAAGCTCAACTCTTTTTTTTTTGGTGACGAAGATTTGCCCTGAGCTGACATCCATGTCAGTCTTCCTGTGTTTTTTAGTATGTGGGCTGCCAGCACAGCATGGCCACTAGCAGAAGGGTGTAGGTCCACACTCAGGAACTGCACCCCAGTTGCCAAAGCAGAACACGCTGAGTTTAACCACTAGGCCACCAGGACTGGGCCTGAAGCTCTACTGTTTTACTCCTCTCCCCCCACTTTTTATGTTTTTGACATCATGTTTAACCTCTTTTGTGCATATGTGTGTGTATCCATTAACCTCTTATCATGGAAATAGATAATTTTAGTACTTTTGTCTTTTGATCTTCATATTAGTTTCATAGGTGGTTGATCTGCTACCTTTACTGTATATTTGTCTTTGCCAGTGATTTAACTTTTTCTGATAATTTTCTTATTCCTATTTGTGGTCTTTCTTTTTCACTTAAATAAGTCCCTTTAACATTTCTTGTAAGGCTGGTTTATTGGTGATAAACTCCTTAAATTTTTTCTTGTCTGGAAAACTCTTTCTCTCTCCTTCCATTCTGAACGATAACCTTGCTGGGTAGAGTATTGTTGGCTATAGGTTTTTTCTTTCAGCACTTTAAATATATCATGCCACTGCGTTCTAGCCTGTGAGGTTTCTGCTGAGAAGTCAGCTGATAGCCTTATGGGGTTTCCTTTGTTGCCTTTCTCTTGCAGCTTTTAGGATTCTTTCTTTAATTCTTGACATTTTAATTATAATGTCTTTCGATTCGGGCCTCTTTGGGTTCATCTTATTTGTTGTTCTCTCTGCTTCCTGTACCTCTATGTCCATTTCCTTCCTTAGGTTAGGAAGGTTGTCAGCTATTATTTCTTTGAATAGATTCTCTGCCCCTGTGTCTCTCTCTTCTCCTTCTGAAACACCGATACTATGGATGTTAGTATGCTTGATGTCCCAGAGGTCCCTTATATTGTCCTCATTCTTTTTAATTCTTTTTTCTGTTCAGCTTAGGTGATTTCCTCTAGTCTTTTGTCTAGCTCAATGATCTGTTCTTCTGTATTGTCTACCCTGCTACTGATTCCATCTAATGAATTTTTCATTTCCATTATTGTATTCTTCAGTTCTGATTGGTTCTTTTTTATATTTTCCAATTCTTTGTTGAAGTTCTCACTGTGTTCATCTGTTTTTCTCCCAACATCAGTGATCATCCTTATGACTATTAGTTTGTACTCTTTATCAGGTAGATTTTTTATCTCTGTCTCATTTAGCTCTTTTTCTGAGGATTTGTCCTATTCCCTTATTCAGAGCATATTACTTTGTCTCCCCATTTTACCTCTTTCTCTATGCTTATGTCTATGTATTAAGTAGATCAGCTATGTCTCCCCATCTTGGGGAAGTGGCCTTATGTAAGAGATGCCATTCGAGGCCTGGCAATGTGCTTCCCTCTCGTCACCAGTTCCAAATGTTCCAGGAGTGTCTCCTGTTGTGGAAGGATTACTCTTACTGCAGTTGCATAGGAAAGCTAGGCTGTACCCCTGGCTGGCTAGTTGTAAGGCTCAGCTGTGGTTCCTTTAGTCACCTTATTGGGTGGGAGAAGCCCCAGCATAGTTGGCTGCAAGGTCTAATGTCACACACCTGCTGCTGTTTGTGTTAAGTGAGTAGCAAGCTCCCAGTGTGGCTGGTTGTTAGGTTCAGGGGCTCACAATTGATGTAGCCCTCCCAAGACTGTTGTCAGCTCTCTCAGGAGTGCAGCTGGATGGGGCCAGTCCCAGGGGTGGCAGCACACAACTGTTTAAGGCATTGGAAGGTGGAGCAGAACCCCTATGTGGCTGTTTGAACATCTGTTTGAACTCTGACATTTCTATTTCTTACAGGCGGAGGTTCTGGTGAATAAATATCAACACAAAAGAGTTTCTTTGCAACCTGATGAGATTAGAAAAGCATTATATTAATTTATCTTATCCCTAGAAAAGATTTATCTAGTCTCAATCCAGTCTGCTCGAAGGCCAGGTTAATGTTCGTAATATCATCTCATGTTTCTATTTTCTAGCCTTCTATCTTTTTCCCCCCTTGTCTTTTATGTAGTCATGGTTAATGCCAAGTAGTTATGTTATAGTCCTTCTGGAGTGGGAGAGAAATATTTTTTGTTTCTTTAGTTAATAATAGTGATAAAGAGTAAAACAGTCAATGTTTTCTGTCCATTTTGCCTTTTAAAATGTTGTTTCTGTAACATCTTCTATTGACTTAATTTCCTTTTATTTCGTACTAGCAGGTTCGTTCTAAATCTCTCTCTTTCTCCCCCCACCATGTATATATGTCATGTTTTGTCTTTTTACCTACCTAGAACAGTAAACATTAAATTTATATATTCACACAGACACGTTTTATTTCTGTAAGCACTTTATCATTTCATTTGCAATATTGGAATCAAATTGAATTTTACATCTATTTGATAAAGCAGTAATACCAATTTCGCTTTAGAATTCAGGCAGCATACTTAACCTACTAATGGGAAGACTCCTATCTGCCAGTATTCTTTAATGTAACTTTTAGAAATAATACATGTAGTGTACTCTTTGTTAGTAAATGAAGTATACTAAGATAGTATACAGAACAGATAATATAAATAAACTAAGTAAAGGTAATTTTTGGCATGTTTGTTCCTAGTCCATTCATAGGTGATTAAAGATAGTACATATAAAATATCAATATGTTACACTATTCCTCTTCTAAAGCTTACTGTTAGTCTATCATCATATTAATTGAAATGCATCAAAAAAAGTTGGTCTTAGCCTTTTTGGCTCTCCTGATCTTCCTACCCTGTGCATATATCTACCTTGCCAATTTTCTATACTGTAATTGTTATTCAATTATGTGCTCTCACTAGATTGCCCTTTGGGGAGGGCAAGGATCATGTTTATCCTTTTCTCTACCTAGAACAGTGCCTGTTACTTAGGCAGCCAATAACTGAATGAATAACTTCCTATCTTCTATAGTGAATATGAGACTAGAACTACAATTTACATAGTTATCTGAGAGAGCAGAATTTGAAAATTGTGCTTAGACTCTATCTAAGGCAATCACCCTCAGCTGATGGTCTGAAAAGCATCTCAGTTTTGATTATGATTGTGTCCTTTTACAGTCCTTTATGGGTATTTGATTAATGATGCTTAGACTATTGCTGTTTTAGTCTTAGAATGTTGTGTCTACTTTTTACCATCAGCAGGTTTGGGAGCACACCAGTTGACTTAATCATGATCATAATCAAAGTCAATGTTTAACTTTCTTATAAGCTTCTTTCCTTGGTTCAGCTTTGATAAAGCACCTTTTGTTTCTATAGCATAATGCATTATTAATTTTTAATGTGTTACTATGTTTACAGTGGAAAAGAAGAAGGAAACAATAACAGAGTCAGCTGGTCGACAACAAAAAAAGAAAATAGGTAAGATGAGTTATTGGTATATACAAAATTTAAATTTTCTTGGAAAAAATAAATTCTTAGATGATGAAAATACAATAAAGTTGTTAATAGTAGTAACTCATGTTTGTATAATTTTATGGTTTACAAAACACTTGTGTATGTTGTCTTACTTGATTCTCTCGACCATTTTATAGGACAAGTTCAAGCAGTTGCTCCTTTTTGCTCTTAGCTTTGAAATTTCAGTTTTAGTAAAATGCTATTGACAGTTGTGGCTTTTAAACTTGGCTGAGAGTTCTTGGCATAGTTGGTAAAGGCGTATTGTTTTTCACATCTGAGATGATTATTTCCAGTTAAATCTGAGTTACTTGTATTTATTGTTGCCATGGCTTCCTTACTGGGAATTCACTAGTGATGGAAATCTACCAAGGGGTAGGAAATGTTCTGCTTAATGATTTTTATCTAGTCTGAAAAATAGTGATGTTTTTGGTTTTTCAGTGTAATTTAGAATTTAATTATAGAATATAATGCTGTTCCAAAAAGGCAATTTATAAATGATTAGCTGTGATTTGTATTTATACTTTATGGTGCTTCCTGATTCTGAAATCAGGAAAAAATTGTTGTGAAATTATGCATTTGATTCAGAAGCTGTGTCTCTGTACCTAGGTCACTGCTCTTATATCTCAGGAGAGAATTCTACCAGACTGGACTATGCCAATGTCCTATGCTGATTAAAGCTTTTCAATTTAGTATAGGGGTATCAGATGTTTTCTGAGTGACCTATTCATTTAGTTCTGTGGCAAGATACTACTATACATCTACTTTGTATGTGTCACTCACTCTGGTAGGCACTAGAGAAACAAAGTAGAAAAAAATCTGTCTTTTAGGAGGTCTGTCGAGAGAGGGAAAACAGACCAATGTAGTATGGCAAATACTTTTGTAGAGGTATGTTCTGAATGTTATGAAACTAAAGAGAAAGGATATCCAAATCAACCTCAGGGTCAGGTTTTCTTGAAGAGATAATGCTTTAGCTGAATCTTGAGGCTTTAGTGTGAATTAGCTAAATCAAAACATAAATAAATAAAATACTAGTCAGTATTTATTGAGCACTTACCATCTGTTAAGATAAGCACTTTACAGATTTTTTAATTCTCTTAACAATTATATGTGGTAGTGAGCCGTGTTACCTCATTTTTATAGATGAGAAAATTGAGGTTAAATAACTTGCTCTTGCTCATTCGGTGGTGTGATGGGATTAAGTCAGTGGTAGAGAAGGGGTTTGAGCCTGCTCATTTATAACTTTAGAATCTACATTTTTAAGCCCTGTGCATTCTAGGCAGAAGGATAGACATGTGCAAAGGCATAGAGGGATCAAATAGCAAGGTATATACCTTGAACTATAAATAATATAACAAATAAAAGAAGGTATGTGTAATGTCTGGGCAGACGAGGCTAGAGAAATAAGTAGAGCCTAGTGCATAAAGATCTTTACAAATTAAACTAAGGTAATAAGTTTAACTTGTATCCAGAGGGCTTCCCATAAGCATTAAGGGATTTGAACAGAGGCTTGACATCCAGGGTGTTTTTGTTTTTGTTATTGTTTTTGAGGAAGATTAGCCCTGAGCTAACTACTGCCAGTCCTCCTGTTTTTGCTGAGGAAGACTGGCCCTGAGCTAACGTCCATGCCCATCTTCCTCTACTTTATATGTGGGACACCTACCACAGCATGGCGTGCCAAGCAGTGACATGTCCTTACCCGGGATCCAAACCGGCGAACCCCGGGCTGCCGAGAAGCGGAACGTGCGAACTTAACCGCTGCCTCACCGGGCTGGCCCCTTTTTGTTTTTTGAGGAAAATCAGCTCTGAGCTAACTACTGCCAATCTTCCTCTTTTTGCTGAGGAAGCCTGGCCCTGAGCTAACATCCATGCCCATCTTCCTCTGTTTTATACGTGGGACGCCTACCACAGCATGGCTTTTGCCAAGCAGTGCCATGTCTGCACCGGGGATCCGAACCGGCAAACCCTGGGCCGCCAAGAAGTGGAATGTGCGAACTTAACCGCTGCGCCACCAGGCCGGCCCTGACACCCAGTTTTAAGGAAGACACCTCTGGCAATAGTTTGAAGGATAAATTGGAGAGGGGATCATTTTGGAGGTAGGGAAATCATGAAGCTTTTAAGTATCCCAGGCATAAAAATGGCAAGAATCTGAACTTAGGTAGTGGCAGTGGAAATGGAGTAGATGGTACAGATTCAATGGATATAGAGGAGGTAGAGGTAACAGGACTTGATGACTGTTTAGTTGTAGGGTATGGAGAGAGATGAGTCTGGGAAGAAGCCCACACTCCTGATTTGGAGAGGAAATATTGAAGTAGCAGATTGGGATGAGGAGGAAAGAGATGATTCAGGTTTGAACATGTTGGATTTGAAGTGCCTGTTTGACAGAAGAGTGGAAATGTTTGGTACACAGTTGGATGTATGGTTTTGGAGCTGGGAGAGAGAGAACAGCTACAAATAGACTTTAGAATCATGCTTATAAGTAGTAATTGAGTCCACAAGGTAAATGAGATCACATAGGGAGACCATATAGAGTAAGAAAAGTGGAAAAGCGAAGGGCTGAGGATGGAGAGAGTCTTGAGGAAACAGAGAGATTTAAGGAAAGTAGCAGAAGTGGAGCTCTGAAAAAATATTGCCCAAGATGTTGGAAAGGAGTTGTGTCACACAGAAGTTGAGGGGAGAGTTCCAGGGGCAGGAAGGATTTGAACATGCGTGTTATTAAATGTCTAAGAGGCAAAATGGAGGTTATTAGCGATTTAGCAAGAGTGATTTCAGTGGTATGATGGGGGACAGGAACCAGATTGTATAAATTAGGGAGATAATGGGTGGTGAGGAAGTAAAGCTATTGAACATGGACAGTTCCTTCAAGTAGCTTTGCTATAAAGGATAGGAAAGATATAAAAATGGAAGGCAGATTACCCTCTGCCCTTAAATTGACAACACAAAGTATCAAAATTAAAAATTATCTTAACATGGAATGGAACCTTGAATTGTTTGCTCACCAAAAAAAAAAAATCAGACATTGAAAGAAATAATATTTATGAGCAATTACTTATCAAAATCTTGTCAGGAGGCACAAGACATGATATTTATTAGGAGTTGCTTAAAAGGCAAGCAACCTATCCATTCTGTACATTTGTAAATTTTCCTGTAGATTAAGCCAGACTATCAGAAATCTGTAAACCTAAACTGCATTATTTTGGACTTCATAAAATTGCTTCTACTCTGTTCCACCTTGACATTTGCACTATTAGGCATGTCATGAAAAACTCAGCCAGACACACTTTATTGTAGTACCACTATGGAAGGTTTTTGAGGACATTGTCTACAACAGCACACAATGCTCTTTTGATGAGAAATTATGGAAACTTTCTGTTAGTTTTCAATGTCAAGAAAAACAGTAATTCTCTTAAATAATTGATTTATTTTTATTTTATGGACGCTGTGCTTGAACAGGTGTTTTTCCCCCGTTGGAAGCAACTGCTAATGAGCATTTGCTGTTCATCTCCAGCAACTTTATCAGACCAATTAAATGTATTTCTGTGTATTGACCCTATCTACAGTTTTGTCATTATGCCACCCTTACTTTCCCATTGCTCAGGTTCCCCACCTGAGCTTCTTTACAAAAATATGTATGGTGATGGGGCGACTACAAAGAATGATACTGCTGCACTGAAAGAAGGGAATTTTCAGTAAGACGGAAGGGGTCAGTAATGTTCACTGTTTCAGAGAAGCTAAATGTCATTGATTTCATTAGGTGAAGCTCTTTGACAATGGTCTTGGATAGAGCCATTAATTTGAAGCTGAAATGTTTTTTGCATTTGAACTGAAAGTTTTAATGTTTACCATTCTGAATTTCAGGAGTGGATTTTTTGCCTATTTTACATTGCCCTCTTACGGAAGAGAAACTAATTTACTTTTGATACATGAATGTTATTTAACTCTTTTGGCTGCATTCAAGTTACTTCAAGTGATGAAGGATTTATTTTAAGGAGATATGTGATCCAAAACTCAGGACAAGCTGAACCAGCTGGTTATAGGAAGGCAGGAAGTGTGTTAAAGCAAGGCCTGCAAGCAGAGCAAGCCCTGAGGTAAAGCCAGCCAGTGGGCTCCACTGTCTTTAAAGCTCCGCTATTAATATAGACTTCTGTCACTTCTGTTGTTCAGCTTCCCCACTTCCTCTATAGTGTTTTTCTAGCATTTAATTTTTGCCTTTACCTAACTTTGGCTTGTGTCCTGGGGTTCTTTCTATATCAGTGTTATTCTTCTTGTGCTTTGTAGGCCACTTACATCAGAATTGCTTGACATACTTGTTAAAAATGAAGGGTTCTGAGTCTTACTCCCAGACTTTACTGAATCAAAATCTCTGGACATGGTACCCAGGAGTCTGCTTTTTTTTAACAAGCTACCCAGATCATTCTTAGACACACTAAAGTTTGAGAGCCACTACTATATTGTAAATTTTGTCTCAGCTTCCACTGTTAATTGATTGACTTTCCCAGGATTTTCTGGTTTAAATTTCTGAAAGAAGGAATCCGATTGGCTCAGCGCATCTTTTTGCACCATAGGTCATGGGGAAACCTATGGATTGGCTGCCTTTTGGGTCAGTGGTGGCAGGACAGGGGATGTTAGGAATCTTCATGAGGCTGACCCTCAACCTAGACTGTGGTGAGAGGCAGATATCCCCAGAAGGTGGCTACGGAAGGGAGGGCACCATTCTGAAGCTTAACCCAGTGGAGTGGGTATCTCCTTTCTTAGTGCCTTGGAAATAACGGGAGGACTTTTTGAAATTTAATTTATTTGGGGCCCTGAATTTATATATTCGTTCTAGGGCTTTTGTCTACGCTATTTGGATTTTCCTTAAAAAAAAAGGCTGCATTAGACATTTGGCTTAAATTTTGCTTCTTTTCCATTTCCAAATCTACATGAAATTTCAAGGGTATATTAATTGGTCTTCCCATTCAAGACAA